AAGCCTTGACTGAACAGACAGCCTCCGTTTGTCTGCCCTCAGTTTACAACATAACTGTGTCATAGTTGTAAAGGGAGGAGACAAAAGTAGGAGGAGTACTGGGAGAAAAACACGTTGTTTGTTTCATTTCAGAGGCATATATAACTGGGTCAAGGACTCTAATTTACTCTATTTTAAACTTTATCTTAGTTAAGTATTTCTTTCCTGGTTGCACAGTTTGACTGATCACAACTATGGATGTAAACACGCTGCTCCTTTTTCTACTGCTGCTGCTCTTTGGTTCTCAGGCTAACCATTTCTTTGGGACAGTGATGACTTTTACCCCCAAAGACAAGACACATAATGGCTCTGTCACGGTAGGTGTGCCTATAACATTAATGCCAGGACTCTTTATTTTAGTCTGAAATAGGGGCTCAGATTTTTACTTATTACTTAAGGAGGATTGAAGTAAAGGCAAACACGTCTCTGCTGTGCACAGCTGCCAGTGTGTGAACACACAGTGCAATCCTTACTGCAGTCCCTAAGCCAAGGATTTGATATGTTGTTGGCATTGCTGTTGTTAATTATTATTCACTGACATTTCAAAAGGCTCCTAAAAGCACTGACTTTATTTGAACAGTTCATGGACTCTTTATAATAACACAACAGGCGTTATTGTTACAACATTACAGGTGGTCTTTCACTACAAGCTGAGCTTTCGCTCATGCACAGATCAAGACACGTGGAGCTGTGTCAGCGGTAACTGTGGTACAGAGAGTGTGGAGCTGAGCATTGTGGATGAGGAGGACAAAGAGTGGTGTCAGAGGGAAGGAGTCATGACTCGGGAGGTTTCCAGCAATGCTGTGTTTCAGCTACGGTCAGTAACACGTCAGATAAAAAAAAAAAAGGTTTAATCCTCTGAGGTCTAAATTACTATAGATGATAACTCCAAACCAGCCCCTAATCCTAATTTGAGGCAATCAGATTATGTAACAGAGCTACTTTCATCTCCTCCTGCATTTGCAATGGGCTACCACACTATTACAGGTAGCACTGCATATTTGATTTTGATTTAATGCCAGATGTCCTGCCAGACACAACACAACACTCTTGTCTTGCCAATCAGCGTAAGAATTCTAGTTAACAAACATTAAAAACCAAAAACAACAATTAACAATGCATCAAATGTCATGCATCACACCTTAATATATATGAACCCTTTTTCATTGACAGTGTAGTCTTACCTGACTTGTCTTACCTAAAACATCATCAAAACCTGATTATACTTCATTGCCTGCTATTTCGCAAAGATCTATTTACATACATCAATTTGTATTTACAAGATTTTCAGTAAACTTGACCTCTGACCTAGACGGCCTATGCTCCGCCAGGAGTTGATTGATTTTGACCTCTGACCTTGACCTTGAGTTGATAATTGCAATCATTTGAGACGCCTAGATGACCTCGTTATAGAATTATCACACAGACAAGGTTTTCAGAAAACTTCTACTTTAACCTTGACGTTGAGATCAAAGCCATTAAAATTTAAATATATCCCAGATTATTATTAGGTGCACCTTTGCAACACTGAGTATCCATCAGGTTCCCACCCGCCCGGCAGGTTGATAACAACACCCAATCATTTCTTGTATGAATGTATACTAATTAGTATATGTTGCACAAGTTCTTAGCATAAGTTGTGTATAGAAAATAACCAAATTACCTTCTTTGAAACCCCAAAGATTAGATGGCGGTGACTGGATTCAAACCAAAAACAAGGTGAAGAAATGGAGAGCTCTGACTAACGTGGACCTGAGGACTCGTCTCGACACAAATCAGCCAAACAAGTCACCTCAGACCACCATCCTGCCAGCCCTACGGTAAGCTTATTTATTGTTTTTATTGTCATAAACTTGCTGTAATGAAGGCAGGAAAGGACCCAAATGCAGACTCATAGGCAGGACGTTAACCCAAAAACACAGTTTTATTTGCTGAGTGGAATAAATAATACAAAACTAAACAGGGAAATTTCAGGAATACTGAACTAATGGAGAAGCACACAGCCACGACAGATGAGGGAGAATGCAACACTGGACAGAGGGAAACAGAGGGCTTAAATACACAGTAAAATCATGAGGCAACAGAAAACACATGGGGAACACAGCTGAGACGAATTATACACAACGAGACTGGGAAAACAAGACTAAACACACTGAATAAGGAATGCAAGACTTTCACAATAAAACAGGAAACAAAGGAACACTAGACTGACACATGAGCTTGACAGAGGAGTGGAGGAGAGGGGGCGAGAGGATAGATGACGGGCTGGGGAAACATGGATAAACATGGACACGATGAAAGACCTACAGGACAAAGACACAACAGAGAGCCTAATCATCAAAGACTTAAACAAGGAACATGAGAAACTCGAAACAAGCTAAGACTACTAATGAACAGGAACATAAACCATAATACAAAATATCACCAAAACAAAGAAACTCAAAATGCTGGGTCACAAGGACCCAGAACCATGACCATGATTATAGTATTTGCAACTTTCATGGGACGTGATCGTCTCTTATGTGTTTGCACTGTGGTAAGCCAAAAAACTCTCTGGAAAGGTTGTCATTCCATCACCGAGTGAACACAGAGAGACAGGCAAACATTTGCATTCACATTCACACAAATGGCTAATTAATAAATGACATTTAAACTAACCTGCATGTCTTTGGACTGTGGGAGGAAGAGAACCTGCACAGGCACAAGGAGTAAACGTAAACTCTGCTCAGAAAGTATGGAAATAAAATATGACTTGCATATTATTTTTTTCACATAAAACCAAGTCAGTAGCAGACAATGGGACACGGCATTACAGCTTTGCTGTTACAGGATTTTCCATTTTCCAATATTTTTAAAATATGTGGAGATATCAGAGCTCGATCCCGATCTATAACCCTTAAAGAATATCCAGTGACATGGTGAATGTTAACAGGGTTAAATGGGTGATTCTTGACAGTCCTTACATGTATTTTATTTTTGTTTTGCTTGGAGGAAGCCTTGTTGAAACTGCAGTTGTTAAAAACCAAAGTTACAGTGCTGATTTTTGGGTGAGTTTTGTATTTACTGTACTGCATGTGATTTATATGTGCCAGAGTCCCGTCAAACTGTCAAAGAGTCTTCACCCTGTCGGCCTTTGACCCTGATGGAGACAAGGTTAAATGCAGATTTGGAGACATAGACGCAGATGAGTGTAATCCTTGTACACCACCGTCTGTTCTGACCATCTCACAAGTGAGTTTCAAAGGCTGTCACATACACTTACAGAATGATACTACAGTTAAAACTAGTCACAGAAACAGAGAAATGTTGTAAATTATTAATTTTTAGCTCTTCTAGCTGAAGGACTGCTGATGGTAAGCGCTGATAAAATGTCTTTCTTCCATCCATTCGTTTGTCTGTCCACAATTCACAAACATTTCTACCCCTCAAACACAATGCCCACTTTTAACGAGTCTTCACCAAACTTGTGCAGGCTTGCACATTGTCATTTAATCCTGTCAGCAGGCAAGATGAAGGTTCATATGCAGTACAGCTGGAAATGGAGGACTTCCCAAAAAAGACTGTCATCATCAGTGATTATGGTTTTCAGACAAACATCACTCCCAGCGAGGCTCTCAGCAAAATACCAATCAGATTTGCTCTGATGGGTAGGTTTTTTTTCTTTTTCAAAGCTTTTTTACCATTTGAGGAGCTTGTTTATTCAAAGTAAAATCAGCACAGGGATGTTATACTCCATAGTGCTGCAAGAAAAGATGAACTCAGTCACGGCTGCTCCCTTTATGGGTCGCCACAGCAGATCATCTTCCTGCATCTCACCCTATACCAGCATCCACCTCTGTCACACCAACCCTCTGCATGTCCTCCTTCACCACATCCATCAATCTTCTCTGCGGTCCCTCTCTTTTTCTCCTGCCTGACAGCTCTGTATTCAACATCTGTTGCCCAATATGTCCTCTATCCCTCCTCTGCACATGTGCAAATCAACTCTGACTTTCTGTCAGTTTTGGGATCAGTCCAGTGCAATATAATGCCAGTTTTGACCAGAAACATAATGTTGCTGTTTCAAATATGTCCGCTGGAACCTTACATATCAAACCAGTGTCTTAATTTAGCAACCAAAATTTGATAAACGTCATATCAAGGTTAAATTGCTTGCTACACTACTTTACTAGCTATCTATTGTAATGACCTAAAAATCTTTTTCCAGTGGACCCTCCTGCACCATCCTGCTCAGAGGGAGTCTACCTGCCCAGGTTTCTACCTCCAACCCCAGCCAATGGGGCCCGCATGTACACTAATGACACAGTGAACATTACCATTGTGGCAGAAGCGACCAACGCCATGTGAGTAAATACAGAACATATTTGAGTACCATGTTTACCTTACAAAGAAATGCAATTTTTGCACCATTACACGTTTTTTAAAGGTTTAGTCGTTAGATCCCTCTACTTAATACAAAGGTGGAGCGCCCACGAAGTTAAATCCCAAGAATCAATTAAACAAGCAACAAGCGCTCTCAGAGAGTCTAACTTCCCCAAAACTGAAGGGCTGTACTAAAACTTTAACGCTTTATGATGTTTTTATTGCAATATGATGATGTCACCCTGTTATTGAGTCATTGCAACATTCAAATGAAAAAAATGAAAAGATATGGTTTCTTGAAATTTGACCTTTGACCTTGAGTGCTGACAATGAAGGTCAAGGTCATAGTGTTGTGAAGTTTGAAGAAAATAAATTAACATTACATTACAAAATTGTGGCTAAAATAAAGTTTGTTTGTTTGTTTTTACAGATTTTCACATTTAGTGTGACCTTGACCCAGTTTTGACCCAAATTAAATCAGCTGTTTTTGGTATCTACCATCACACAAAATTGGAAAATTATATCTTCAAAACTGTGGATGCTAGAATTCTAACAAA